ACTAGCAAAATCCCCAAACTATCCCTAGTCTTCAGGCTGAGGTACATAAACTCAATGTGAGCCACGTTCCGGATAGGTATCCTGGTCAAGGTCAAAGTGTTCTTATGAACTAGAGCCACACCGCCCCCCCCCCGCCCACTTCCCCTCACCTGCTCACTGACAGAGTACCCAGCTGGGAAGGCCTGCACCCAGATGGCAGCACTTTCCTCTCCCAGCCAGGTCTCTGTAAAACAAGCCAGGTCGGCATCTTTATCCAGGAGGAGGTCCTGGATGATATGTGTCTTATTTTTCACCGACCTGGCATTGCAAAGGAGCAGAGTGAGGTTCTGTGGAATGGAAGGTCTGCTTCCCAAACCATTCTGGGAAACAGAGGGGACAGAAGGCGGGATAGCTACTAAACAGCGATCCCGCCTTCTTTTGTAACATTTGTCCACTCTGTTCCAGCCATATCTCCCGTTCCCCAACACTACTTCGATAGTCGCCCCAGTTTCAGTTCCCACCCCGGTGACAGTGGGTGGCGCTAGTTGAGAAAATATAGGTCTTGCTCAATACAGTTCCAAAATATATCGACCTATATAACCTGAGCCCATTAAGATATTACAAAATTAGCTCAGCTACATTGTATTGTCAATCAAACCCAACTCGTCCATATCTGCCTCTGCAACGCCCTAACCCTACTAGGGCCAGGCGACAATGCAGAGACAATTCAATCACACCCAACTTATCAAGTCCTCCGCGGACCAGTTCTTTGCAATCTCATATATATAGATTCTGTGTTAGGTCCGGAGGCACGGCCTCTGTTTCTACTGGTGGCGTCTGCAGCCTAATATTTCTGTCCTGGTCGCGGGGCCACGCCCCCAGCACCGCCGGTGCTCCCGAGGTGGAGAAGGGAGCCGGGCGCTTCAGGGCCCACACGCCCCTCTCTGGCGCTGCCTTCCGCCACCGCTGCTGCCACGCCCCCGCAGCCTGGTCTTCCGGCAGGCTTTTATGCCTGTCCTTGTCGCGGGGCCACGCCCCCAGCGCCGCCGGTGCTCCCGAGGTGGAGAAGGGAGCCGGGCGCTTCAGGGCCCACACGCCCCTCTCTGGCGCTGCCTTCCGCCGCCGCTGCTGTAGTGTCAAACTGGATATTTCTGCAGTGCAGATCTAGCCCTAATTAGAATTTATTGTTAGTTTCAGGAAACATCCTGTATAAAAACCCCTTATAAAAGGGCTTTAGCATGTTTATAAATACTTTTCAGGAGAAAATACACATAATCTTAGTTGAAATTTAGCTGGAAATATTTTAACTTCTTGTTTTCACATTTTTAGATAGTGAGAAAATCAGAGCAGCATCAGTTGTCAGTGAGGAATCTCATTTTTTTATTTCTGTATATCTGTTACTTCCAGAATTTGGTTAGGGGAACAAAGATATTTCCTATGGGGTTCATGAGGCACTGCTATGCACAGCCTTGCTTCAGTTGTGGGAAGCTAACTTGGTGAACGGTGCATTGCATACCCCAATGAATGATAATTCCACAGCTACAGCACTTGGTGTGCTATGCTCTGAATGCTTTTAATTCGGATCCTATTTTATTAATTGTTTAAACGTAAACCCTGACATTCCTCAACTAGGTACCCAGCTATTTCTGACAAACATTCCAGTGTCTTAAGGGTCACTTTACAAATGATGTGGCTGCAGATGTGATCCACAATCATTGTTAATATGTTGTGGGACTTAACACTAGTGAGAGCTCCCTGTATGATTGTACTTTTGTGCACAGGGATCTGTTCAAAAATGGTATGTTCAAAACCTAAATTTGTCATATTTTGCAGTTTCACATATGCTGAAGTAGCTACAATTTTTTGCTTTACTATTTATCTAGTTTGTACCTTACCTTTTGTACTTTTACTATGTATGGCAAATGCAGATTTGACTTATTTGCAAGCTCATTTTAGAATCTTCATCATATGTGTAACTTAGCAAGACTCTGTACAACCAGCCCTTTCAACGTGGCTCTTGGAATTTGGTCCTTGGTTGACAAAGTTTGAAAGCCATTTATATGGTCCTAGATTGCTGCATATGAACCAATTAATTTATTACCACAGTAATTCAGGAAATGTTTTTCTTGAGCCATTGTTGAGCATGATTGAAATGGTTGGGCCCTTCATGGCCTCAGTTTTATTGCATCTGGATTAGTTTATTACAGTGATCTCTGTATGTGATTGCTTAGAAGTGTCTGGAGAAAATTCCAGCTAGTTCAGTTCAGCTGCTGGAGTGCTCAGACTCGTGATTTGATCATATAATTGTAATATTATATTATCTTCACTGATTTTCAGTGTGTTTTAAAGACCGATAAAAAGTTCTGTGCTTGACCTTTAAAAGCAGTGAAACTGAGACTGGGATATCTTAAAGACCAATTTTTCTCATATGCTTGTTTATTTAAGACTTCACTTCATGCTCTCTGTTCCATGTTCCCTCGAGTCTAAGATGTGTTGCATGGGCGTGAAAGGTCTAAGGGTCATTTAGGCAATGGCACCTTGTAATTCTGTTCGTGGAGTACCTTTAGACATACAGTTAAGATGTTGCTCTTCTCAAAGTTGTTTGGGCTTTATTGCATTAGAAAGGATTCCCTCTCTTCCGATGTGTGTTTAATTGATGGTGGCTTTTTGAAATTATCCTCTTCCTGTACTGTGTTCAAATATTGTTTAATCTACTTTTCTTTTTTATTATGATTATTAGTCATATTGGGAAACTTTTGAATAGAACAGCAAGGCACAGATATTTTAAATCTGTATTGTTGGGACTTTTATCCATTGAAGGCCATTGACTCATGGAAAGAGTCTATCAAGGTCATTATACCACTGTTAGTAAAAGCAAACAATGAGTGGAAGCATAGTACCTTCTTTGTACCAGCCAAGCGTTTTGCATGTATGCACAAATGTTCTGTATAGTTGAGGCCTTCAGTGTCTAGAAAGCCAAATAACTTGGCAAAAGCTGAAATAAATGAGGCTGAGGATTGTACATTCCCCACCCCAGTTTTAATTAACTAAAATAATGGGTAGATTTCTTGCTTGTTTTTAGAAATGCCATGTGGGTTTGTTTCTTGGTACTTTGAAATTATCAACATATGGGGCACATAGATATGTTGTCTGTTTGACTGTTGAATACTGCTTTTAGTAATAAATTGTAGTCATTGTGCACATTAGTATTTGTTTATATTCCTTATTTCTAAGGAATCATATTATCTAAGCAATTTTCATGCTTGGCTGTACTTAGAAGTTGGTATAAGGCAGCTTTGTAAGGTGTTTCTGTACTGAAAGATTACCTGCTGAAGATTCACAGCTAAAGAAACTAGAGAAACTAGAAACTAGAGCTGAAGAAAATGTTTTTTCATGGCTTTTCCTATCTTTAGGTGGGTTTCACCTGTACACTAACTGTTTTGTTGTTGTTGTTGTTGTTGTTGTTGTTAACCACCCTTGAGTCGATCTTGACCCATGGCAACCCTGTAGATCTCCCAAGATTCCCTGTCCTCTACTGTTTTGCTTAGTTCCTGTAAACTCATACCAATGACCTCTTTAATAGAACCGATCCATTTAGCATGTGGCCTTGCTATCTTTCGACTTGATATTTCCTAGCATTGTTATTTTTTTTCTAGTGAGTCCTCCCTTCTCACGATGTGACCAAAATATGACAGCCTCGGTTTAGTCATCTTGGCTTCCAGGGATATTTCTGGCTTGATCTGTTCTAGGACCCATTTGTTTGTCGTTTTGGCTGTCCACGTGATCCTCAGCACTCTTCTCCAGCACCACATCTCAAATGACCAGATTTTCTTCTATCCGCTTTCTTAATTGCCGTGCTCTCACATCCATGCATGGTAATATGAAATACAGTGGCTTATACGATTCTAACTTTTATGCTCATTTGTATATCTTTACATTGAATTCTCAGTAGTTAGAATAGTGTAGCCATTTTCTGTAGTAATATCTCTTTTTAATGGGAAGCAGTGATTGTCTGAGCCGGTGTAGTATAGTGGTTTGAACACTGAACTATGACTCTGGAGATCAGAGTTTGAATCTTTGCTCCGTTGGGTCATGAAACTCAACTGAGTGACTTGGGGCAAATCACAGCCTCAGAGGAAGGCAAAAGCAAACCCACTCTGAACAAATCTTGCCAAGGAAAAACCATGTCTTAGGGTTGCCATAAGACTTGTCGTATAACACTTGAAGGCACAGTACAACAAGAAAGTGGTTGTTCCCAAGGATACCTTTTGACTATAACCTTATACAGTCAGTCCTCTGTATCCATGGATTCTGCATCCACAGACTCAACCATCCATGGCATGAAATGTGGTGGTGGTGGGGTTTGATTCTGAAAATCAAACTTTAGTTTTGCCATTTTATATAAGGGACTATACCATTTTACTATACCATTATATATAATGGGATATGAGCATCCATGGATTTTGATGTCCATGGGGGGGGGGGGGTCCAGGAATCATACTCCAGAGGATACCAAGGGCACTCTGTACCTTTTTAGCCAGAACTCAGCATTGCTTACTTCTGAATAGATACACTCTTTTTCATATTCTTGATAAAGCACTAATCTAAATACAGGATCCAGAAATTTATCTGGGAAACACTTGATGCTGCAATATATCTGAAGCTAAGTGGGTATGAGTCCAGATTACTGAGCAATCACTAAGAGCCTCAAGAAAAATGAATTGCAACTGTAGTATCTTTTAAAGCTATAAAAACACTATTGGGATCCATCGAAAACCTTTCAGCGTGTCCACAACATTCTGCCTTCTACTTACCCTGAACTACATTCACTGTTACAAATATTACAAATAAGACATGACTCATTTCTATTCACTGTGAAGAAAACAGTCATTAAAATGCATTGTGAACATCTGACATTTTTACAGAGAGAACTGTGTTGATAAATGTTTTCTCTCCAACTCTGTACTTTTTGATAATACATTACTGGCAAGTGACATACTTAAAACTTGCCACTAGATGTCAGCAGTAGAAAACATAATAGATGGTGATGTGGTAGGAATTACCAAATTGATTCAAAAGAATATTTGCCGTATTTTTGACATTCATAATAAATGCATAATTATGGTGATTATATTCCTTCTGATCTTTAACATGTGTAGAAATTGGCTTCTAAAATCAGTTTTTATGTTGTCTTCTGTCATATAGACCTAGGAAATAAAATAGCAACTATTATTTAGTCTCAAATCTATACTCTTTCTAATTATTTTTGGATTTTAAGATTTTTTTTAAAAAAATGAGTATAAAATCAGGCACGAGAATTATAATTGCACCTTCACTGTGCTGCAAAACAATGGGTGGCCAGCCTGCCTTTTAAGTGCTGCAAATGGCAAGAGCAGGAAGGTATCAACTGAACAGGGAACAGCAGGACTGGAGGAAAGCATTTGCTGAATTCCAGAGTGGATTCTTATCCACTTCTCCCTGGAGTAATATGCAGTTGGATATGGGTCAGCTTTGGAATCTGTCCTCCTGCCCCATTTCCCAACAACATGGCCTGAGTGCTGATGACTCAGGTTATTTTTCTTCTTTTACAAACACTAATCTCCTCGCATGACCAGCCTGAGTGGCAGGGACAGCTATGTCCCCCTCCCTTACATTTTCCCTGAGAGTGACCTGTGGCACATCCTCACCTCCTGTTCTTAACTCCCATGGGAACTGCAGCCCTAGTTTTAGCATGCATAGGTGGAGACGTGTCGGCTGTTTCAGGAGACTAGTATTTGTACTGAAAAGAAAAAAAGTACATCAGTCCTTGGAGTTCCTTGAAAGTCTTTGAAAAGCATTTCAAAAAAATGTTTTTAAAACTTCAAAAGATGGAAAATGCAGGCAGATTGCTTACAGTTTGGAGCTCTTTGTACTTGTTTACTAACTTTATTTTGAAGCAGTTTACATTTGTAGTAATATGGGGTTTTTTTTTTTTACACTCTAGGATATTTGATGCAGAAGGAATAATTGGAGGCAAGGAAAACAAATGGTTTATATTTGTAGTACAGTAATGTTTTTTACACTAGGATATTGGATGCAAAAGAAATAAGTAGAGGCAAGGAAAACAAACCTATATGGGTGCCAGATCTTTTCTACTGTTACATAACGGTTATGTGGTGTGGCTGTTACAGGTGGTAGTTCTGGGAAGGAGGAAGGAAATGGCAATGGGTCTCAGGAAGGCTGAAGGAAGAGGCCTCATTGTCATGAATGTCCCTTCCATGAGGCCAATTGGAATGAAACTGATGGAGGCCATGATTACGCCAACATGCTGGTCTGCCTCTCTAGGACTGAGTTGTTGCCTACTTTTGGCCCAATAGAGGCAAAGCCACAGTGGAATAAAAACAATTTATTAATTATATTTCTTCATCTCCTCCCCATCCCCTAGCTGCTAAAGGCCAAGTTTCTCTGAGTCCCAGTTCTGGGAAAAGAGCAGGATGCAAATTATTGTTATCATTATTGTTACTATTCTACTGCAAAATTAAAAATCCCCCCCACCTCCAAAGTTTTAAAAGGCATCAAACTATTTATTTATTTCATTGATACCGTGGCATGTGGCTCAGAGCAGCTTACATTAGAAAAGTAATGCAACTCTGATGTGCTTTGGTGCACACTGGTGTATACACGAACCATTATGGTGACAGTGTCAGAATATCAGACTAGGATCAAGTGTGTGTGTGTGTGTGTGTGTGTGTGTGTGTGTGTGTCTGTCTGGCCTGAAATCTCCACCCGGTGATGAAGCTGAACAGACAATCTTAGACCAGGTAGTTCCCTGGCTATCTGTACTTAATTTTAAAACGCTATATGCTTTCATATATAATGAAAGTGTATCTCAGCCTAGTTGGTTCTTGTGTTTAGGCTGTAATCTATTGCTGATAGCTTTGCTGCTGTGTGTCTTCAAGTTGTTTCTGACTTATGGTGACCCTAAGACCCCATATCATGGAGTTTTCTTGGGAAGCTTTTTTCATAGAGGGCTTGCCATTAATAATTATTATTATTTTTATTTTTATCCCACCCCTCTGCAGCACAATTGGGGAAGCGTGCAACACATTAAAAACATCTCAACAAGTTAAAACAAGATCCAACAATCTATTCCCTAACCCTCCTACCCCTTAAAAATATATTAAACTAATGCAGAATTAAGATACCGAATAAGTAAAACATACAATTCTTTAAAATAGCAGCTCGACTAAGCAGTGACGGTTGGAGGAGCAAATAGCCAGAGTCTTTGTCTTTGTTTTCTTGGCTGGGACATTATTCAGGGAAGACCTGCCAGAAAAGATCCATCTTTACTGCTTTTTTAAAGCAGTCAGGAGTAGAGATAAGACGGATCTCATCCGGCAGGCCATTCCATAATCTGGGAGCG